CGGATAAAGGAAGATCAAGTTTAAAGTTGTTTTGCTGATGTGTACGGTAAACAATTTTTACAGTGTCTATTTTCTTTCCTTCAACTTATTACAGAATTAATACCTGTACTGTAAATAGACCGTTCAAAAGTCGGTGAGAAAGATAACTTGTCATTGAAAATAGGAAGAATTGTTTAACGGTCTCAATGGAGTGACTTTTACCCAACGGCTGACGATTAAAATTATGGCCATTTTACGGCTAACGGTCTATTTTTTCCCCTTGAGTTAAAAAAAAAATTTATTGTCCACTTTTTTGCGACTAATGGTTAAAATTTATTACGTTTTTTATAATTATTTTTTCCGTTTTACTGCTGATGGTTAATCCCATTGAGAGTCTCATGTCAGTTTTTTAGAACTCCTATTGGGTTATGTTTTCCTAAATGTTGGCATATAGGTATATTGTATTTTTATCCTCAGGATAAAGGCCGAGTCAGAGGTCATAACGTTTTTTTTAAGAAATCAATTTAAAGGTTTGAAACCGTCGAGATTCACAAGAGGGGTAAAATTTTAACGCTTCTACCCTATCGACTTTACATGAAAGGGATAGCAATCCTCGGAAGTAATTTAAATACAATGATCTGTGTTTTGTTGTGGTTCACCAGAAGTCTGTGAATTAAAATGAGTTGTAAGACTCTATACGGAGAATTTGATAGGTACTTTAAAGGTTGGTTTGTAAAACTATTGGCTGATGTTTTGTAGGGTAACTTTTGTTGGATGAGATAAGGTACAGAAAAACGTTGTCAGAGATCTGTAAAAAATGGCAGATAAATGGCAACATATCATGGGAACAGAAACAAGTCATAAGGCCTACAGAGAGAAATAAACCCCTCTCCCTTCTTTCAAAGCGACTTCAAGGGTAAATTATCTTTGGTATGGTTCTTGAATCGTTCTGATTCCTTCCTTTAAACGAATGATCGTCATTTGAATGATCTTCGAAAGGTTTACAATGTTTACCGAAATAACAAGCAGGAGATGAAGTCATTTTTCAGGAATTTAAACAAACTTTGTCGAAAGGACGAAAGACATCCTTATCTTAAATAGCGGGAAGAAGAAATAAATAGATCAAATTAGTTACGGGCTAAAATTTAAACGTGTACTCACCGAGATCTTTTAAAGAGCGCATTACAGCCATCAGCCTTGTCTCTTGTGAAGATCATAAATATATGCATCATCTTTTCAACGGCGTTACGAGTCGAAAAAATTGTTTATTTTGAGTTATGATCCTTTGAGAAACCTGCAAATCCACACGCTTGTTTTCGTCTCATATAATTTCAAAGCCAGTTTACCTTTTTCCATTTACCAATTATTTGTTTTCGGCCCACCTTTGATATCCGTTTTGGCCTCATTGTCCAATTTCTTAGAATCAAAGTGATTAAATGTTATTGCTGATATCGACTTTGTTCTCTTTCCTTTGCTCGCTTCCATTAAAACGCCAAATGTCCAGCCCTCTAAGTCAGAGGAGCACGTATTTCAAGACCAAAAGACAGTCGAAATTCGACACAACACTGTTTTTTTTTCTTGTGGCGCATTGGTTTTAAAATAAATTTTAAATTGATATGACTGAATTTTCAGTTTCATGACTTCAGCCATTCGATTGCGTCGCACATACTCGCCACGTTTGGGGTGTTGTTTACTGCTCGACTGAGAGAATTTCAGAATTTCTATTCAGCTATATAAAAACAGAGTGAATAAATTCCTGATATCGTTTTTCACCAATGACAAATTTTAATATCTCGATTGCTTTTCCCTTCATTGAAAGTAAGATCGAGGGAAAGATATTGCCAGAACACCAAACCTCCCTTGGCGACCACCTCTGGTAAGCGACCACCTCATGTTGGCGACCTTATTTTTTCAAAACACCAAACGTTTTCAGGTAAAATCACTGAAAATGGAAACTAACTTATTTTGCTAGATGTCGTAAAAGTGGCGCTACGGATAATGTCTCAGGCCTTTTTTAAAATGCTTGTAGCCACGTGCATTTTGTTAAATTTTATGCTTGTGGTCCGTTCCCAGAAAATTTGGACAGCACTTCTCGTAATTGATGTAAGCAACAGGCCGAGTGCCTTTCACGTGAATTGACCCAAACGCTGTATTAAATAATTTGTGAGATACAAGGCAATCATCATATTTTATATAAATTTTTTTTTCCTCGAATAAGCCGCTAAAAGTTATTACCATAGATTTCGATGAGCGCTAGCGAAAGGGTCTGGTCGCCATGTGCAAATTACCTGAAATATGGGTCCCCTGTGGCCTGACCTCTGGTGAGTGGCTACCTCCCGTAAGCTACCAACCAGACTTGTCATGTCAGGTGGTCGCTTACAGGAGGTTCAACTGAATATAATTGCTCATATACCTAAGATTTCCTACTTTAAAAACTATGGCGTTGTATACTATAGATGTTGTTGTTCATCGTGGTTTTTATAAAAAAAATGAACATTTCATCGTGTGTCTCACGATATCGATGTAGAAGTCAAGTTAATCAATCGTGTATTGATGGCGACGTTTCGACTATTATACTGCTAGTCTTCATCAGGCGACAAGGTCGAAGGTTCAAACTATACGAACCATCTCAACTCTCTGACAAGGTAAATCAAGTGTCACATAGTTCCAAGAGAGCTTCGGAGTCCAGCCTCCGGTTCCAACCAAAGACACTCGCAAAGATGACCAACTAGCTTCTCTGAGATTTTTAAGGGAAAGAATACGACCTACGCGGATAGCCAGGGGAGACGCGAACAGAGAACTGAACCTACTGCCTGGAGTATAACAACCCCTATGTCGGCAGCTGACGCTAGTGACATACCTGAAAATATGTTGTTACACATGGATTGTTTAATTTGATGACGCTAAAGAACCGCAACGACGCAAGCTTCTAATACTTGTGCAAGAGAACCAGAGATTTTTTCTTTAGCAACTAATGTTCACATAACACCTAGCTTTGACTGTGATAAATGGGTTAATAACTTATCTTCACCGTCCATCAGCGATGCTGAGATGTCTTTACTAGAGAAAGGGTTAAATTTCGAAGTATCGCCACCTAACATCCCTACCACTGAAATAGTTATTAAAGTCGAATCAGCTATTACAAAACTTGTCCACGAGAAAGCGGAAACTACAGGAGGAACTCTAAACAGTTTTCTGTAAAAAACAATACCACCTATGCCCAACATCACGAAAGAAATACAAAACACCCTTAAAGATCTTAAACAAGATGAATCTATCATGATCTTACTAGCCGACAAAGGTCGTGTAAGCGTAGTTTTGGATATTGACACAAACAGGTCCGTGCCTAATTCTCAACAGAGACCCAAAAACTCACTGATGAGCGTCTCAACCTGTAACGAAGTGGCAATCTGTAGGAAAATATATACAGCAAAATCAGAGCTGGTCATAATCTGCCAACTAGGATCTATACGGCCTCCCTGGCATACACAAAGCTGAGATAACGTTAATACCCCACAGGCATACGCACTGTGTTTATATCCGACAAGACGCTTTGGTCACACGTAGTGCGGCCTTATGATCCCATTGAGTCAGCGAAACGGGACGGCGTTGCTTACAAAGATCCCGTGTGAATATGGGGAAATAAGGAGAGCGATGTAGGAGAGAATTAAAGAACATAAACGATTAAAATTTAGCGGTTCCGAACACACCAATGGAACGGGACACGTTCCTGTTTGGGAACAGGTTAAGTTTATTTATCATGACTGAGATACCATTAAGACCTTATTGGTATACATGTAGGGTGAAAGAACCCATCCCCATAAGACTTCATCCTAATAATACCAATAAGGGTAACGGAATCGAAATTTCCGAAGCATGGATGCCTATACTACCAAAAAGCATAACAGACGGTCAGTAACAAAGCGGAAAGCACGCCATAACGCACCAATAAGAACAAACCATGGTGCTCTAAATAGCGACACGTGAACAAATACACCTCGTTGCCTGACGAAGACTACCAATATAGCAGTCGAAACGTCGTGATCAACACAAGACTGATTCTTCTATGGCGTTGTAAACATGACACTAACTCAAGCATGAAGACCATGGTCGCCAGCAAAAAGAAACTGTGGATTTCTTTGGTGCTGAGATTCCCCGCCTAGACAATGACCACCTGAAGTAAAGATCATGATGTTGACAAGACCCATGATGTCATGCTTGTGGTGACATGTGAAATTCGTCGATTAGCTACCGTTATGTGAAGATTTCAATGGGGTGATTGCTGTTACGGCTAAAAGTTAATATTTTGTCCATTTCACGGCAAACGGTTAACTTCTTTCCATCGTTTTTAAAAGGAAAAAATTTTAAGGATAGCTTTTTTACGACTGACGATTAAAACTCGTCAATTCTTACGCCTAACGGCTAATTCTTTTGCCTTTTCACGGTTAACGCAGTTGATCCCACTGAGACCCTTTCAGTACATAGATACGACAAGGCCCTACAGAGTTCAGAAACGTAAGAGGCTTTTCACACCATAATCTAGTATTTTGCAAACTTTGGAAGACGTCACTTCCGTTAGGATGGCACAAACGATTCATCACAGTCAGATACAAAAGCAAAAGTTTTAATGTTATACATTGTTCTCACAGCTGAGGTAAACGTAACATGGCTAATTGTTTGGTTGATTTCCAAATTTCTCTATGCTTTGAACGGAACCTTTTTCTCTGAGCCGAATACTCATTTGAAAAGCAACTTTCTTTTAAAACTAATAATGGCTAACATAGAAAGTTATCTTTAAAAAAGGAGCTTTATTTCATGGGCTCTGTAATTGTTTGTGACCGATTTTTATGCGGTTTATTATTTTCTGAAATGAAGTACGATTTACTCAACAATGATATATCTAGCTAAAGCGTTATTTGTTGATAGAATGCAATTTTTAAACAGGGTTACAGAAAAGTATATAATCGTTCCTACGGTGTCGTAGCACTGGTTGGAGTAAAAGGATGACTGAGAGTTCCTTGAAAAGGTGAGACGCTTGTCCCATAAGATGATTGTTAGTTATTGCTGGATAGATTTCGACAGGGTTAAATTTCTAAACTAAAAATGATAATGATGACGAGTTTTATTTATCAGAGTGGCTTGACTTTGTCCTGTGAATAAAGTTTCTCTTCCTGCCAAAGTTACCAACATCATCAATTCCCTCTTCATTCAATATTTCTTCAGTTGGGTCTAATGCAGAATCTTGCAAACTCAAAAGTCCTTGTTCAGCTGGTGGTTCGTTTTCAGAATCGTCACCTTCTCCTTCCTCATCAGTGCTCTCCTCAATCATTCTATTTCCAGGTTCGTAGACATTAATGGGGTCGTGTTGCTTGGCTGTCTTCCCTTTGTTAATAGGTTCTTCTTCAACTGAGATATTTGCGTGTTGAATCGTTTTCACGGCATTTTCTCTTTCTTTCACCATGTAATCGTTTTGATATTCGAGATGTGATGTTTTATAAGTTTTGGTAAAGCCACTTTTACTATCATGCTGTCCAGTTCTATTTTCTTTTGTTTCAATGCTGTCACCTGGATTGCCTGTGCCGTCCCCTTGAATGCCAATTTTTTCGCCTTGATTTTCAAGGCTGATGTCTTCATTGCCATCGTCGTCTTGTAGACTGCCCTTGGACTTTTCCTTTTGACCAAAGCTCTCTTCATGATTGTACGTGATTTCCTTGTTTGTGATATTTTTCTCTGCTAGCTCGGGCCTATTGAGTGTGTTGCCTACAGGCACGCCTCTTGGCTCATTTTTATCATCAATGAGATCGTGTGCAATTGCGTCTAGTTCGTTTTCCTCATCATTATCATGTGACTGTTCCTTTTTGTTGAGAGAATTGATAACATGGTCATCTTTTGGTTCAGTAGAATCGTTAATGTCGTCGAAATAATCGAACTTATCCGGTTGATATTTTTTCTTCAAGAGCCTTTGAAGACTTTTTATCTTTTTCTTGAGACTCTTGATAACATTTTTTGAAACATCCCCTTTATCATGTGACTCAGCATTGTTATGCTGCAAATCTGAATCTTTGTCCTCTGAATAACTAGATCCAAACTTTGTGTGATTTCTTTCATCACTAGTAAGTTGATCCTGATTTTGGAATCGCTTCTCCATTAGATCTTCGATGGCCTTCGCCTTCCAATTCCTTTTGCCTTCCCTGCTATCACAACATTCGTCGTTGCACTGCATGTAGCAGTCTAATGTTGGATACTGACTGCATGTCATTGGACAGCTGGCAGGGTATGGGTCAGTGGTGCCCGTCACGGTCTGCACCCCTGGGTAGTACACAGAGTATGCCGGTGCAGGGAGCCCAAGGTGATAATTATAAGGGTGAAGGGAGGAAGTGCATCTTCCATGGTTATTACACGAACCATAACAGTAGTCTCCTGCTTTGCCTTAAAAAAAACGGAATATCAAAACAAGACATTCGAATTGTAAAGTGTTCAGCGTGAAAAGAAATTGTATCTATAACCAAAGCACACTGTGTTCGATTTTCAGGAACGCTGTGATCATGGCTTCCAAGTCTAACTGATTACACTTAAGGAAAGATACGTGACTTGTCAAAAAAGACAATAAAAAAGGTGAGAATCGGTGCATTTTTAATGCTTTTCAGCAATTATGAGATTATATTACCTGTATGTCCTTCCGCTTTGTCTGCAAAGTGAGAGAGGAAAACAGTAAATTTTGGTTGCGCAAAAAGTGTCCACAACAATGGCCTATTGACAGTTAAATAAAGTAATCTAATGAGCAAAGAAAAATTATGATATTAAAAGAATAATTACTGAAATGATGTCGAAAAGAAGGACATAGAAATTTGCATTTTGCCCTGAACATCAAATTGAGAATTCTCATTCATAACTCTATTGATAATATTCACAATAGTGACACTACTAATAGTGATAACAACAATGAAATAATAGAACTTATTCAAACTGGAGTGATTTCTTTTTGTAATCAAGTCTCACCTGGTCTGTCAATGGTCATACTAAGAAGTTTTTCCGAAGGACGCAGAAATTTCTGAAACCGGAGAGTGGGGTCTGGGGTGAAGGATCTAAACTTGATTGAAACCGTAATTCCTAAGCCTGCAGGTCTGATGGGAGATAATTGAAACATTTTACTGGATAATATTTTCATCCATAATTAATTGGTATCATGATTAGTACAGAAGTACCTTGCACTGCAAATGCTATAAATTTTTACATCGAGTCGTGCAGTTTTTAATTTACGACAGCCAACGCATAAAATCAGTGATCCATGAAAGGAAAAGGGACAGACAAAACTTAATCCATGTAAGTGGGTACATTTGTAATTTATTTACAATATAAACACGAACTTACCTTCCCTTGAAGGATATTGCCCTAAAGTGAGAGGAAGAAAGAAAATTCAGAACAAGACAGCAACATACATGTAAATTATTTTTTTGCAGTTAAAATCAGACTTGTCACTCAGTGATACAAATAAGGAACACAGAGTAAGCGAAAGACAGGATATTGACTCACCTGACACCTTTAACTTTAACTTTTCTGAATCCACCTTTCTTTTTCCCTGACATTCGTGTGAAGATTTCTTTGAACTTAAAAATTGAAAGCAGAAATAATTGAAATGCTAACCTCTGGTTTACCGGCGTCAACCCCACGAATCTTAGGTCTTAGGCAAGAGGTTGAGGTTTCTCACATTAAATATCTGAAAAATCTTTCAAGTATAGTTTGATATCCAAGCATCTAACTGGACACAATGGCAAAGAAAATTATATCCATGTTTGAAATAGAGAGTTAAGACTTAACCAGTGTTAGGATTATGAACAATATATTGTAACCATGGTTTAATCAGAGAGTTTCGTGATTTATATGTGTAAAGTTACTAAACCATTTCCATACCGTTATTTTGATTCCATTTACCAGATCTCTGTAGGCCTTGGAATTTTTATCTTTATAGTTCGCTCTCCAGCGGAATTTTTTGAACAGGACCTCAGTTCTGTAAGTTGATTTGCCTGTTCAAACAATTAACAAAAAAAATCCCTTGCGTTATTTGATAATGCATATGGGTTTCCTTGGCTCTTAAGCCAGGAAACGAGAGTATGTTTTTATCAGAGTGACATCTGGTATAAGCTATGGTTCTTTAAAATTTTCTAAGCCTCGTAATTCTTCGAGGTGTCTCACCTAAAGTTTAATCGGTTAAGAGCTACGCCCTTAAAACTTTAACGCGATGATAGCGACAGAAGAATGATGTTTAATTAATACTATCTCCGTTTTTCTGTAAATTTTAACTATGATTTAAATCAACTTGTGTGTCGATCAATAAAAACTCGAAATGAAAACCAGACATTTTACGGCGTAATTAAAATGAAGTTAATATTTGTACTTCAACGAATTCATGTGACTTTGCTCACTCCTATAACAGGTGAGATGCAGATAGCATATCATGACAGCGCCAAAAAGTGGACGTGAAAGTGAAGCCTTACTTCATACCTATACCGTCAACACCTAAATTTACAAAAGTCACCAAAGAAAACAGGAACAGAAAAAAATAAATGCTACAAAAATTAGAGTAAAGACCCCCTCCCCCCTCCCCCTCTTGATCCACTCTAGAGCTGTATATTGAAGTTTACTCTACCTTCAACGGGAATCCTACATGTAAAAGGTCTTTTTTCGTTGCATGGTCTATCGTCCCAGCATCCTTTGGGTTTGCGAATGCTCCATGCCACACAATTTTCCAAGTTTCCACCATCGGCATGAACCGGAACACACACGTGACTTTTGAACTTCAGTCCGTCAAACCATTTAAAGCTACCTTCGTGTAAACTATCGTGTAAACCTGTTGAGTGTCGATCTGCCATAATTTATCCTATCCTCTAGTAGGAACAGTGAATTAAATATACTCTATCATATCCTTCCTCCTTTTCCAATACGCGCTTAGGGTCTAGTTCTAGAAATGAAGTTAAAAATTTGAAGGGGGACTTATAATATATAATCTACCTGAACTACGGAATATGAATTAATGTTTCAAAACATGTTAAGTTGGAAAGGTTCCGTCTTTTTTTTTATGCGGATAGCATATTAGACATCGTTAGAATAATGAAGAGGATGCTTTGATAACTAGTTTTCACTCGTAATTATTGTTTGAATCAGCTATTTTCCGAAATTTCTTTTAAAAGAAACATGGCTAGAATAATCAAACAAACTACAGGTATGAATTCAACTCCTTATATGGTAAATGTTTCATACCAATCCAAGTCTCCATTCCCGACCCAGTTTTCTTTTGCAACCCTCTCACAAATTCTTCCTCTTTAGCATTTCTGATAGAGGCTAAAGTCGCATTTTCTCTTGCGCAGCGTGTCACTGCTTCGTCCCAGGTTACTGAAGTCGTCTCATATTTGAAACAAGACGTTTCATATCTTGAGTAACCTGCAGGGCATTTTGCTGTAAATGTAGGCAAAATAATTTAGAATTTCATCAAGTCAAGTCAAGTCAAGAAAACATAAATAAAGTTGCTTTTTCGTTTTTGTTGTTGTTGACAACCATGGCAGGATCTTACCTAATGGGCTTGCCTCCATTACGACTGCAAATGATAGTTTTAAAAAAATGTCAGAACTGATATGCATTAGAGTGAAATTTCTTTACCTCTCTAAGTGAGAGACAACCATAATTACGGGTTTGCGTTATTATAATATCAACGATGTGTATCAATTTAAGCAAATAACAAATAGCTGTTCCTTTCATCTCCCCTCTCAGGCCCTTTTCCATTTTGTGCAATTTCCTTACCTTTCCTATGAAACGTTATTTTCTTCACTAACTGGACTAATAATTACAAATTGCTCTAGAATTTTCTTTCGGAATAGCAAACATTTCTCAGGAAAGGCCAGCGAAGATGTTTTACATTATCAAATGAGATCGAGTATCTGCTTTTAAAGCTTGGAAGTTACGAAAAGCAATAAGAAATACTTACTTTTTACCGGTGGCACGTTTCTCAACACATTATTTTCATCCTGAAGCGCAATATACACGACCACGTAATATGTTTCATCTGTGTCTTTTGCTATCCCTACTCCTGCTTTAGTGCTGGCTTTCCAAATCATGTTCACGAATGGAAGAGCTTGCCCCTCGGCTTTTGGATGACACCAAACGTAATACTTCATCGACACGTACCATGATGTAACACACGTTTTGTCCAGATCCACTACAGATCCCTTATACTTGCAGAAGTTGGCACTGTATCTGTAAATTGGAACATTGTCTTTGCTTTTGGCTTTCATGAACAACACGGCCGCATTTTGTGCGTTTTTCTGGATGACATCATCAACCAACAGTGGTCCAGCCGCGTGCAAATGCCGAAACACGTTCATGTATGTGATGACATCTCTCTGTAGAGTAGCTAGAATAAAAGAAAGTAACAATAAAATTCAGAATTCTCAGTTCTTCAGTAACAACGTGAAAGTTCATGATTTAAATACACTATGAATGCTAAACAGAATGCTAAAAATACATGCTTCTTCTCCAATTTTACGTTTCAAATGAGTGAAATTCTCGTTCCATTTCAATGAAAGCCCTTGAAAGAAAAATTAACATAAACGCACCTTTTACACTTGTACACACCAGGCTTGTAGAGAGAAGACAAAAGAACAGTAGCTTCATTGCGTCAACCAAATTTATTCTTATATAGAAGAAAAAGGTTGTAAGTTAGTCAGCTCTCGTGTGATATTAAGAGCATTTGCTATTGAAGTGTTATTGTTACTGCAATAAAGGTAAAAACATATTAGTCGAATCTGTTATTGATAAGGTTTTCGTCAATGCCGTGAATGTGGAGCAGGTGAATGACACCCAAACGGAAATATAGCTTTTGTTTGCCAACCATGAAAATCTAACCTTTTTTATATCATGATATAAAAATTATACAAGGAAAATGGGTTGTTAGTTTAGGAAATAATCTAATGTGAACCTTCGTCAAAATAACTATATCACCGTAGCTCATTTTTGTCGATGAAGTACACAATTGACGTTGTTGAGATAACTTACACTAAAACGGAACGTAGCGGTCCTTCATCATAGTTTTAGTGAAGAGTTCCCAGCTTGGGTTAGCCCAAAAGATGAAATGGCTTCTAAACCACTTCCAGGCTTGTTTTGAATCAGATTGGGTTGTGATGGGTAATTGTAGTAGCTTATTCAATAATATCTACTTCAATCAATTTAAAACAAAAATTCTGGTCGTCGGACAAAATTTTCCATCTCAACCTTAAGGATTTCTGAATCACATTGTCACATATTTAAAGTTATTTGTGGAGGTACTATTTTAGGAAAACGAGACTACAAATGATTGTATTTTGAGTCAGTTGTTATTTTACTTACCCTGTTCACAAAAGAGAGCGAAGAAAACTGAATGAAATTATTACCAAATGGACGCCTACCCTGTTTTGAAACAGCATCAACAATTAAGTTGAGAAATCCTAGCTTGTGTTCGTTTTTCACGTGGATTATTTCTTGTCTTTATCTTTCATCTTGGTTCACACTGATGGTCTCGACCACGGAGTATTTTATGAATAAATAATGTAGTTTAGTTATCAAAAACAGTTCCAGGAGTCTTCATCCAAGAGTAAACAAGTTATATCACGAGAAAATATATCCTTTTAGGTGTAATGGAGATCGAATGCAAAAAAAAAAAATAGTCCTAAATTTCTTGTACAATCGAAATAAATTGGTTCGTTCAGTTATTTTTTGGATTTAGCATCCACAGTTCATTCCATTACTGTTAGCAGATCGATATGAAGGATCAAAAGTATTTTTTAATTTGCAACCAGCTTTTTACCCGCTTTGTTTTCCAAACATAGGGCATCTGCCTTTGGCACAACATTTATCCTCATTCCAATAAACAAATTTGTGGGCGTGGATGGCAATTAAAGTCTTAACTCTATTTTTAAATTATTTCTCTGGTCATGCAAACCCTTAGACTTTTGTTTCCTTTAAAGTTAAGTTGTGAAAACCTCCTCAAATTGTTTTTAGATGCTTGTTAATAAAATCACCGATAAATTTTTTATGCTCATCAGTTTGATAAAATGTATCACTTTTAAGTAACAACGCTCTTTAATAACCTCCTAGTCGATCTTTGTATGATACAGTTCTGGAAATTTTATTAGCCCCCTTATTTTTAGAACACTAGGTGTGGCCCATAATTGCTTCCCAGAATACGGCGTCTTTTGGTACTAATCACCGATAGCGTGCTGTTTCAATTTGTTTTAATATCAGGTTAAATCTATCATCTAAATAGCAGATAACTGTAGCTATCCGCATCACAATTTCACAACTCATTCTTGCGGAAATAATACGGAGAAAGCCTGTTTCCAGCTCTCCGTCATTTGTTTTGCGGAAAGGATACCAAAAAAAGAGAAGTTTGGCACTCAAAATTCTAATCCTTGTAAACGATGCTTGAGAAGCTTCCGGAAGATCACAATGATTCCAATGTAAATCAGGGCTAGAAGATATCATGTGAAAATTCTTTTTTATTATTTTTACTGTTGTTTACATTGTTGATTTCCTTCTTCTTGTTACCCAAAAGTTTGTGGTAGCAGATCCTGTTCAGTGTGGTTGTTGTTGTTTCGTTATTATCTTCGTACTCCGTCTAGCCAAGTTTAAACCTCTTTAAAAATTAAATCAGCATAACAGACAGCTGCTTTACAAGTTGGTTGACAAATTTACTTGCTTTGCATCTCCGAGTGGTATTGATCAAAAACAAAAGAACTTAACATTTACCTGGAAAACAATTCTTGTACAGAATGTTTGTTGGCCTTTGGGGCCGATATCACTCATATCAAAACAACGTATCTACATGATGCACTGTTCAATTCAATAGAATTCATTGTCGTCTTGTTATTGTCTCTGATATCTTCGCTGGTGCTGCTGCCTCCTAAAACGGATGTCCTCCTCGTCACCGGCTCCGTAATATTCATCTTCGTCACCATGGTCACCGTCATATTCATCATCCGGGAATCCTTCTTCGTCATAGATTGTTCTTCTTCTTCTGTTTGTTGGCTGTTCAGTGGAATCCCCATGAAACAACTCTGCGACAAAGTAATAAAGAATAAATAGCAGAAATCGGACGAATGCCGGGTATTTTCCATGCAATCAGTCCTAACTTCCGTTTCCCATAAAACTTGTAGCTTGAGCAACCTTGTTAAGGTAAACATGAACATGTGATTATATCTGATAAAGGATGACTTGATAACGAGTGTAATTTAAAAGTAAAATCACAGACTTAGATGTTGAGGTAATACTGAAAACTGGATTTCAGTTAACATCCTTACTTTTTGTCTTAAAATCACGGTACCATCCGCAGTGAACTCAAGCCCTATTCGGTTGCGGGAAGATATGTTACAAAGGAAAAATTTCAGTCTTGCTGTGGCTTGACATGGACTTGGTAGGGAAAGCGACACAAAGATAAAAGTTTCTGCTACTTACCTAAAAGTGTAAGAATGACACAGGAAAGAAATATCACTGCTACCGCACCCCTCATGGTAAATAATGAAGAGTTTGAAATAATCATGCGAAAAATTACTTAATTCATGGTTCAACGAGAACTGGTTCCAACTGAAATCATCGCCGTTATATCTGCATAAATTAGGGCGAAAAAGATGTTTACTTTTTGATGCTGGTTTCCCATTATCTGGTTGCGTGATTTTCCTGGTTGTGAGATTTGTTTTTCAGCAAAAAAAACTCACTCCTTTTGTGATTACTCCCTGGTCAATTCTTTTCTATTGTGCGAATTTGCATGTCAGATTTCTTAGTGATATGTACAGGTCTTTCTCTGGAACTTTACATTTGAATTCCCCGTATAAATGAATTATAAGATTAAATCTCATTCCTTTGGAGCCACCACATAACATCGAGGCTCATCAGTTGTGGTTAACCTCGAAGTAATCTCATTTGCATTTTTTCTGTACGACTCGACGGGAATGTTTTACCGTGACTTATTTGTATATTTGTATACAATATCAATTTCTATTCGGTAACAGTGAACGAAACAGGAATGGACTCAAACAAAGATGACACTAGAAAGATGCGTGACGTGAGGGAAGAAAGTCCATCGAAATGTTTCAACACCACCACACAGATTGAGGAAAAGTTAACCACTCTGGAGTCCAGAATTAGAGTTGTGAAATCGGATTTCAAGGCGCAAGTCGACGATCTTAGATCTCGTATGGAACGTTTGAAGACAGAGCTGGAAAATGTTCACGACGATTTGAACTCGAGGAAAATGAAAGATGCGAAAAATGACGACGACGACGCAAGAAGAAATATCTTGAAAGAGACACGTGCGTGTCGAAAACACCTGCTACAAAAGAACAAAGAGTTGACTTGAATTCATTCGAATTACAAAGAGATGCTTAGGGAAGATTTTCACCACGGAAAGTTAACGTAAGGGGCAGTGTTGTCTATGAGTAGAAAACCGGAACTCTAGGTCAGAAAAAATAATTGTAATTCATGAAAACAATGATAATGGCCACCTTAAATCTTCCAAACTGATGCCAAATTTTTTACTTAATTTGATTAACCCACGTGGCAATTTCGACTTGTGCAAACATCAAAATTGTTTTTAAAAAAAGACTTGTAGAGCTAAACTGTGTTTATTTCTTCACAGGTAAAACCTCTATATAAATCAAAAGGGAAATTTTGAGCGGCAGAAGTTTGGCCCTTAGAAAAACGAGCCTCTCCAATAATTCTAAAATTTTAGTAACCCCTCAGAAAATATTTTATCTCAAATATATTTTTCGCAGGTCTTTGTAATTTGGCTAGAATATTCCAACGAGATGTTGAAGGAAAAACTTTTTCCTTTATGCAAAGTGGAAATTGTAATTAAACTATGCATAAGCCATCGGTAATTGATTTCAGAAGTAATATTTCAAGAAACGGTACTTTGTGTTTGCTCAAGAGATTTTAAACTTTTTACATTCTCTTGGTTTGCTTGAATATACACCGCTACCAAAAGGAAGTTCCTGGTTTTCAGTAGAAGAAAACGTTTGTGGTTTTCAGTCCACATGGTTTAACTTCGAATTTGCTACATTGATCTAGTAGATATTCTTTTCAACAAATCAAAATATAATTTATAATTGCAAGCTTTTTTATTTAACCTAATAAACAAGTTCAAACATCCAACCGACATCAATCGCTGATGCTAGAGTCTCACAACGTTTTGTTAGTGTTACTGTTTTTGTAACTTACTGTCTTTGTCGTTCCCCTTAAGTTATATAAATCGGAACGTTAAACTGAAAAGCGTATTAAACACTTGTCTGTGCGAAGGACCCTACCATGTTTGTTTGCTTCGTGGTTAGATCATGATTAATATACATTATTTTAATATCTTTATCGAAACTGACTCAGTTCTACATTATCTTTTTCATTAAATATGTTTTGCAGAAAAAACAATCTAACTAACGCCAGATATCTTCTTTAAATTATCAAACCATTCATAACAAACTACAGTAGGGTCAAAAGCTATTTAAAAATAAAACGTTTACAAACTAAAAATTTTGTTTAACACCGGTAAAATGAAATCGGGGTTAAAACTTATGTATTCTTACTCGCGATCGTCTTTTGTTACAACAATATGGCGCGCAGTAAGATGGGCAGAAGTTAACATTATTGGTGCAAGCAATGGGGCACTGGTATGGGTTTCTTTGGGGGTAGATTGGTTCAGGTTGGTAAGAAGCTGGTGATGGATACTGAACGGCTGCTGTTCCCGCTGCTGCTGCTCCTGCTGCTACTCCTACTGCTGCTACGGGAGCTGGAGCCTGGGCGCAGCAAGTCGGGTCACAACCTGGCTGACAGGTGCTGCTCACACATTGGTTTGGGCAAAGTGACGCGCCTGTGGTAAAAATGAACAAAAAAATTTTACGAGGTCAGCGCCTGTGGCACAAATGAACAATAACATTTTACGAGGTCTTATTAGAGGTCACATTTGATCAAGAGACCCTTGCTCACTCAGCAAACCGTGAGAATTAAGGAGTTGCAGCCTACCGTGGATTTCTCTTGCTATTGTAATGAAAATGAGCATATAATTTACGGCAAAAGGCCAGCAGCGGATATCAAACCTCTTCTCATCTGCCTAATTAATTATTGTCATGAAGTGGCTCTAAACCTTAAACGCTCTGAATGTTTCTTGGGCGTAATGCAATGATAATACTCCCAAACTGAGTGAAAACAAAATACAAATATGAAGTTAAAGGCTGGTTTAGATATAGTTGGGTTAACTTGAAGAAGACAACTGAGCGCTGTGTTCCATTTTACCAATCCACCATCAGTATCCTGCAATTTTGGAATGCTCACAATTACTTCGTTCTACGTCATAATTAATTTAGTCAATACCACCACATTCCAATTAAGATAAACGTTTGTTTCCCACTTGCATAGAGCTTGATGGTCTACTTACCTGGCAGGAGAATTGTCACATTGATAAGTTTAGCAGATACT